GGATCGTAAACGATTGGTAATAAGATGTTCATAAACTAACTGTAAATGGGGATTACGAGCTGCAAGGATTCCTGAGATTATTTTTTTCTCTATTAGAAGCCATAGGAAGATGCATACGTGCTCTCGGACTAGTAAAAGTGACAGCAACGACAAGCGAAGAGGTTCAGCAGAACTAGTCTCAGCCTTTTTGAATGAGGAATTCCCGGGAGAGTTGGAAACTTCAGTTCCGAAAGTTGGAAACTCCACTTCTGATCGTAAATGATTGGTGATAAAATGTTCATAAACTAATTGTAAATGAGGATTACGAGCTGCAAGGATTCCTGAGAATAAAAGTTTCTCGATTGGAAGCTATAGGAAGATGCATATGTGCTCTGCGACTAGTCAAAGTGACAGCAACGACAAGCGAAGAGGTTCAGGAGAACTAGTCTCAGCCTTTTTGAATGAGGAATTCCCGGGAGAGTTGGAATCTCCAGTTCCGAAAGTTATTAATGGTCTGGTTAAGAACAAACTTGGGGTCATATCCTACTCAACAGCATTGCGCTGAAAGAATCAGGCGGTTTCTGATAGACGTGGTAGTCCGTAAGATAGCTACAAGATGATGTATAGCTCTGTACATGCTGGAGCAAGTAAATGAGGGAACAAAAACTCGTGTGGAATTGGATGGGGAAGGTAAATTCAAGAACCTGTTGTCTCATCAGAACATTCTGGCAAGGAGGTGGGCCTTAATACCAATGTTGGATTGTATCATCAGAACATTCTCCGATTGGTTCAATCAACATCGGAAGGATGCTGTGTCTGGGTCGATCGATACCAAACTGTTGTCTCTGGTTGAGAATTACTTGCACGATCTATGGGGTGTTACGCGTACGCTACCTATGCGTGAGCTTAATAGTTATGACCTTGACTACGAGATCTGCGACATTGAGAGCAATATGTTTTTGGCAAATTTGGTGGGAAAAACTTGTACTGACTGCTTACATATATTTCACTAAGAACGTTAATGACGGCATTGGCATGCACCGTGATATCCATATATAATATCATGAACTCTGCTCAAAATATTACTGGATGGAACTGTGGGCATTGGCGTATTCCATGACACTTTATGTTGTGTGTGGGAACCGAAATTCACACTTGTCGATTTCCGTTAAATAAGGAAACTTAGGAAAACCCTAATTTTCCAGAAGAACCGGATCTCTGCGAAAGCCAACGACAAGTAACCAAATAAATGCGGAAAAATACGAAAAACGTAATAAAACGAATTGAAAGAAAAAGTAGATCTTATTTCAATTTCGCGTAAAAGCGTTGCGATCGTTACAAGGGTTTACAAAGGCTTTGGCCGCAAGGCCGTCAGCAAGTTATCAACATAAAAACCTTAAACCTAATCGAGTCGCAGCTCGATAACAAAAGACGGAAAAAAATAAGAAAAAGGATTTGAATGATTTCGGACTGAACCTTATGAAAGGCTGCCTACGTACCCCTTTCGAGGATCAACTCGAACGTAGTTCAGTGGATTGAGCTGGACAAGAGATCGAACTGCCTGGGCGAGTTCGTCTTGTGATTGAGCGCCAGTCATAGAAATCGAACTTGTCGAGAAAAAGCCTAAGTTTCTAAGTGCGGAAAATTCTAAGTCTAGAAAAGTTGTGAAAGTATCAGATGAGAGCTCTGAAAATCGTCCCCTTGCTTCTGCCCTATGCCTCTTGCTTATATACTCCATTCCTAGGCGGTTTTGTCTTTCCATTTCGCCCACATTCGAGTTTAATGGCAATCTTCCGTTTATCTCGATCTTTCCTTTGTTTTCCCGCGGAAATCTTCTATTTATCCTCAAACTTGACATTTATCTTCAAGTTTGACATTTATCTTCTTTCTGCGAGTAAATCGTCAAAACGTCGTCGTATCTTCGGGTTGGACTTCGTTTAAAGTCGCGAGTGGCTTTTATCGCGTTTTAAGACTTTCCGAGCCGTTTTGCGATAAATCCATTTTACGACTTTAGACGAGATCGTTTCCTGATACAATGCCGTTTTAGATAAGTTTCTCGAGTTAATCGTAAAGCTAAGCAATGTTTGATGTTTCGATTAATCGTTGCCGTTTTCTACGATTTACTCGGGGTTTTATTAAAAACGCGTTTTGTACGATTTTTACGAAAAATCTCGAATAAATCGTATACTTTAGGAAATATTCGGTGTTTCGTTTAACCGTTGCCGTTTTATACGATTTCCTCGAGTTCTTTTCGAGAAAACAAAGTTTTACGGTTTTTATCGTAAAACTCGAACGATAGGACGGATCAAGACGAAACGGGAGACATTTCGACCGTGATTGGGAATACGATCGTGTCGAAGGACATATGCCTTGAATCAAGGATGTGGGAGATCGAGGCTCGGGATGGTCGGCTCGGCGAGCTAGTTCAGCTTGGCCAGGTCACCATATGGCGAACTAGGCGATAAGAACCTGTGGGGCAAAGTCAGTAGTTCGCCTGCTGGCGAACTAAGCCGGCTTGGTTTAGTTCGCCAGCAGGCGAACTAGTCGAGGGACTCGTAGTTTGCCTGCTGGCGAACTAATCCGGCCCGACTTAGTTCGCCAGCAAGCGAACTAGCAGAGAGGCTCCTAGTTCGCCTGCTGGCGAACTAAGCCGGGCCAGCTTAATTCGCCAGCAGGCGAACTAGTGGAGAGGCTCCTAGTTCACCTGCTTGCGAACTTAGCCAGCTCGGCTTAGTTCGCCAGCAGGCGAACTAATCGTGACTAGTTCACGTTTTGTGGCGATTTCAGTTTTTCGCGGTTTTGTAAAACGATTTCTCGAGTTTTATAAAACGATTCTCGAGTTTTATAAAACGATCTTCGAGTTTTATAAAACGGCTTCTCGTGTTTTATAAAACGATCCTCGAGTTTTATAAAACTATCTTCGAGTTTTATAAAACGGCTTCTTGAGTTTTATAAAACGATCCTCGAGTTTTATAAAACGATCTTCGAGTTTTATAAAACGGCTTCTCGAGTTTTATAAAAAGATCTTCGAGTTTTATAAAACGGCTTCTCGAGTTTTATAAAACGAACTTCGAGTTTTATAAAACGGCTTCTCGAGTTTTATAAAACGATCTTCGAGTTTTATAAAACGATCTTCGAGTTTTATAAAACGATATTCTAGTTTTATAAAACGGCTTCTCGAGTTTTATAAAACGATCATCGAGTTTTATAAAACGGCTTCTCGAGCTTAAAAAACGATCTTCGAGTTTTATAAAACGATCTTCGAGTTTTATAAAATGGCTTCTCGAGTTTTATAAAACGATCTTCGAGTTTTATAAAACGGCTTCTCGAGTTTTATAAAACGATCTTCGAGTTTTATAAAACGGCTTCTCGAGTTTTATAAAACGATCTTCGAGTTTTATAAAACGACTTCTCGAGTTTTATAAAATGATCTTCGAGTTTTATAAAACGATCTTCGAGTTTTATAAAACAGCTTGTCAAGTTTTATAAAACGATCCTCGAGTTTTATAAAACGATCTTCGAGTTTATAAAAACGGCTTCTTGAGTTTTAGAAAAAGATCTTCGAGTTTTATAAAACGGCTTCTCGAGTTTTATAAAACGATCTTCGAGTTTTATAAAACGGCTTCTCGAGTTTTATAAAACGATCTTCGAGTTTATAAAACGGCTTTTCGAGTTTTATAAAACTATCTTCGAGTTTTATAAAACGATCTTCTAGTTTTATAAAACGGCTTCTCGAGTTTTATAAAACGATCATCGAGTTTTATAAAACGATCCTCGAGTTTTATAAAATGATTCTTCGGGTTTTATAAAACGATTCCTTTTATATTTCTGCGGGGAGTTTCGGCCGTTGATTCCGTCGTACCAATTTTGACCCCAACATTGTGCCCGACATGTCTTCCTAGAATGTACCAGATCACATCAAAGAGCTTAAGATCATACCTCCGGATTGCATCACGGGTAAGGGAATAAAAAGAGTTAAAAGGCATTTATCGTGTGGTGAACGGTATAAAAGAACACAAAACAAAAGGCGGCCAAGGCAAAACTTTGGTTTCAATTGGTTGTTATTTGGAAATGGTAGTATCCAACCTGCCTGAATTTAGCTATGTCAATTGGTTTCTACTTTGTTTTGTAATGATATTACATCAAAGAGATGAAGATCATACCTCCGGATTGCATCACACGTAAGGGAATAAAAAGAGTTAAAAGGCATCTATCGTGTGGTGAACGGCATAAAAGGACACAAAACAAAAGGCGGCCAAGGCAAAACTTTGGTTTCAATTGGTTGTTATTTGGAAATGGTAGTACACAACCTGCCTGAATTTAGATATGTCAATTGGTTTCTACTTTGTTTTGTAATGTTATTAGTATTATCTGAATCAAAACTTGGTTCTAATAATTGTTTACTTATATGGAAACGGAAAACTGCGTAAAATTTGGTTTTCTACTTTTTTTTGGTAATGACATTATTATTATCTGAGTCAAAACTCGGTTTCAATAGTTTAACAGTTAATTTTGTACTCAAACATATAGTTGTAAAAAACTTAATCCTTTATTTGGTTTTTCTTTTTTAACTCGTAATATATGCATTACAAAATCTTGTAATTCTAAACATACTATATTAGAGAATAACATGTTAGAAAAATAGTTTTCCACTCACAACTATAACCAATATGATTATGATAAATTCCAATATAACTATCAATGTAAATAAAAAAAATTGAAAGTTAAACAACAAATATGAAAAGATTTGTAACACTGAATATATAGGAAACAACCAAACGTATAACTATGACCAATTTTGGTAACACTAGTATCCTCAGTATAACTATGAACAAAGTTTTTCGAGGGAATCTAAAATTTCGGTGGCGCCTAAAGCGGTAAACACAAATATCTCTTAAAGTTTTTCCTCAACCACACGAATATCACTCACTTTTCTTATCCCATCTCTCTCACTCTCTCTCTCTCCATCTCTACCTCTCTCTCCTCTCTCTATCTATCAAAATTTTCAAGAGCCCACAGCCATGACTCATCCGCATGAGGTGTACAGGAGGATGAAGGAGTTGAAAGCATACAACGACATGCTTGGGTTTGTGGTCAATGCACAGTATGGGATTCTAATGATGTTCCCTTGCGGGGGAAGCATTGTTAATGAGGTATCTCCGGCTAATAAATATGCCACAGATTTTGATACTCTATTGGGGAGGAAAAACTTTCATTCCATTTTGAAAGTTGAAATTATGGTAACAATTTGTTTGCATATGACTGATGATATTAGGGTTATTATCGGTTTCTCTGTGCAGTATTATGGCCTCCATTTCCGCCAACCATGGGTCTTTGCAATCGAGGATGAGGTTAAGAAGATACTAAACCGTGTGGCTGAGATGGAGTCATAGATTAGTGAACTCAAGTCTGAGCTTCACCATGTTCGCCGTGAAGGCTCCAGCTCAACTTGCTAATGTTGTTGTTTAAATGAACGAGATTCCCTTGTACTCTATGTCATGTCTTTGGTTTACTCAAGTTTGTTGTTTCTGCGGCTTAGAAGTCTTTTCTTTCTGGATGTTTAAGACATGTAAAACTGTCTTTGTTTTGTTTTGTGGTTGTTTAAGATTTCTAAAATTCTAAATTTTTGGATCATGTTGTTGTTCCCCTTGTTTCCTTGTTCTTTCTTAATCTCCTAATACATGACAAGTTAAATCCTAATACATGACAAGTTAGAAACAAATTAGATAGGCAATAACCAAGTTTTGTTTTGCAAAGGAAGAACATCAAGGTTTCAAAAAACATAATCCGATATTAAAAAGCAACAACAAAAGTTCCGACGTACATTGTCCGACATACATTATCTGACATGAAACACCAACTTCACTCTGCGATTCCTTCACAAATGCTTCAAGCGGGTTCCTCGATTTTTTCCAGTGTCTTTGTCACTCTGTCTAGTTGTTTCCCAAGACTTTCCATTTTCTTGATCATATCCTCCAACATCTTCTTCAGGTCTCCCACTTCTTCTGCTCGAGGAATCTTCAACGACTTTCTGGCCTTCAAGGACTGCATGTTCCACGTCTACCTTTGGTGCGGCAATGTCTTCTTCATACATGTCTTCCAAAAAGACTGAATATCCTTCATTGAGACGCTTAACCCAGCTGTCTACGGAAAGATCTGGCTCATCACGGTCGTCCTCCTCTTCAGTTATAGCTGCCAAAAGAGCATCTTCTTCCTCACTTCTGATTGGCAGGATGCTGTCAATATCCTGAAACTAACAATCAAAAATAGATTAAAACACTTACATACTTGTTCTCAGTTTTATATAGTTTTTCTCATAATTTTCCAAATTATCCAAGTTTTACCAGTTTTACTTATCTTTCCTCATACGATTTTACCAAATTATCCAAGTTTTACATAGCTTCCTTTCATTTCAGTTTTTTTGAACATTGTCCGGCACATCCTCGGGCACTCTACATCAGCTCCTTCAACTGTTTCCCTAAACCTCCTTCCCAACTTTGGAATTGCCTCGAAAGTAAGAAGCTGCAAAACCAACACTATTTAAATACGTAACAGAAAAATCTTAATGATAATGATAAAGTGATATGTTCTACTACTTACTTCTAGTGGAAGACAGAAACATGCAAGTGGTCATAGTGTCGTCTTCTCTTTCACCAGTCCTCCAAAATTATCCATTGTGTGAGAGATCTCCTTAAGCATATAATCGAAGGAATATATACCCCATGGAAAGGACTCGCAGAATTTCAGATCATCCACAGCTCTTTGGAAAAATTCCAATACATCACTGGCTCCAACACCAACATTTGTTTGCGCGCAAATCACACTTCCTAAAAAGAACAAAACCATCATCTTCAGCATTTATCTATTGGGTCCCATTTCCAAAAGCTTTGCTTTCACATCCTCAAACTTTATTGTTTCTCCTTCTTTGAAATGACACCTCACACACGTTTTACTACGCCTCTCTTTGTAGTCGAGCGAATAGTTCTTGCAGTTTATGCGTGATATCAAGGCGTGTTCCCTAAGCCCATAATGGATGGGAACACCATTGACAATAAACCACACTTCTCTCCTCTTCGCGACATCAGCAGTACGCAGTAACAACATCCACATTCCCTGAACCTTGTGGTTTGAGCTCTTCTTCTTTGCATTTGACTTTTCATTTGCATCCAATTTCATGTGGAACAAGTGACAGAATTGTGGATGCTCCTCAAACCACTTCTTCTACGCATTACTTGGCAGAGGATTCAGAGAGTTAAACGTCTTAATACTGTCTACTAGCATGCACCTTGTCCCTAGATTTATCTGTTTCTTGTACTCCGAAAGATAGAATAACATCCTGCTTGGTTTGATTGGCTCGGTGGCCTCAAATTCCTGCAAGTTACATTTACTTAACGTCAGCTATGTCAGTTATACCAAATAGTTTTCTCAAGTTAGTATAGTATTCCCTAGTACACCTGCATATTACTAGTTTTACCATATCCTCATTGTTTCACCAAGTTATTCTACTAATACGTTTAGTTTTACCCATAAAATCCTAGTTCTACACATAAAATCTTAGTTCTACAAATCTTCTACACATCTTTCCTTCACTAAAACATTAACAATTCTTACCTCCTCGTCATTATTTCACTGTTCCCAATCTCTTCTTCACCAATTTCATTATCTTTACTCGAGGCATCCTCTACATCATTTTCTTCTTCATCCCCATCACATTTCCCATCACCCATCTCACCATCATTTCCTTCTTCATTCTCATCACTCGCCTCACTAGCCGTCTCAAACTCTTCATCATTCGCCGCATGCTCATTTGCATCGCTTGATTCTCAATCGTCTTTATCTTATCTGTTTCTTCTTCTTTATCTTTTCCCGGTTCTTCTTCTTTATCTTTTTCCGCTCCTTCTATTTCTTCCTCCTCTGACTGCTGACTCTCCGAATCTCTCGGTGGAGAAACAACATATGTTCTCTGCTCAGCCACCTCTTCCTCAACAGCCACTTAAGCGTTCACAAGGACATCTATCGGCTCTTTATCACTCGATCGTTCTTCCGTTCTCTCTTTTTTTTTTCACCTTTATTTTCCCATGTTTTTCCTTTATCTCTGTTACTTTTGTCGTAGTATATTTCCTCTTACCCCTTATTTTTTCAACCATTTCGATTCCACAAAGTAACCAAAAAAAGAGGGGATTGGAGAATGAATTCGAACAAAATCGAGAGAGGGCGATTTGGGGGAAAATTTAGGGTTTTTCAGTTGCGAATTTGTTTCGACTCTTAGCCATCAAAATGTTTTAATCAAGTGGATTTCGAGAAATTGGTTTGGGGTTTCTTCGGTTTAACCATTATTTATGGTTTACGTTAACTTTCGATTAATAACTCTGTTTTGCACGGCCCTATGGTCTTTTACTATCTTTTTCAATTAAACTATATTATTTTCGAAACCAAGTTTATAACAGGTCTTTCCTCGGTTGATTCATGAGATGTGGGGGTAGCCAAGCTCTTACCTCCTTTCCACGGGAGCCGTCGACGCTTCAATTGTAAAGTGTGTTCTTTATCTTCTGATCTCTTTATCTCCCTTATCTTACAAACGATTCTGTCTTAGTTTTAACCTTTCATCTCTTTACTTTCTCATTTGTTGTGATCGACTAAAGCCCGTAACCATGTCGAACTCTTCAGATTCTTCATGTCAACTCTATAAATCAGAAAAGGTCCCGAGGAGACTGCATCGTACAAAACACTCACATCCAAGAATCTTTATCAACCTTACCCAGAAACTTCAAGAATGGCTTCCTCCGATGCTGTTGTGCCGCAGACCGCCTTGGATGCTTTCCAGCTAGGTAGATCTACCCACTTCGTTGTCGGCATGCTTCTGCGTTTTTGGGACTCGAAAAACATCAAGAAGAAAGGTGAATTAATCGGCATCACACTATTTCTCATTGATGAAAAGGTATTGAAACGATTATGGTCTTATATGATTTTGTTTTTTTTTTTCAGAAATAAGCGATGATTTAAGCTCCTAAACAGTTATGCAAAATTGTGTGATTCATGGATTCGTCTCTGGTGGTCGTGCTGCATACAACCATGATCTCTCATTAACCCCAGTGAAACATGGAGTCTATAATGCCATCATTTACAACAGTTTTCCAATCCTCATGATCTCTCATTCAATGCTTTTTCCATTACTTTAATAGACTGCACTGCAAAAATAAATATGTAAGTCTCAGTCCCCTGTAAATCATCTCTTCAATCCTTTGACTATCAAGGCTTCTGCATTTTTAGGAAGCACATAGTGTGAATAAGGGTGGTGATCTCATGGCTGTTTATATTGTTTTGGTGGATGAGAAGGTATATTTTCTTAACCAGCGTAAACTCTGTAAGTTAAAAGCGGTCTTAAAATTTCATTTTCTGTACCAATCATAAATACTTTTTGTACAAAACTTTACAAGAACAAAGAGAAAGAAAATATGCAAAAAGCCTAAGAAAGTACAGGCTATTGACTCTTTCTGATTGAGAAACTTGATGTTTTACACCAAAAGTAGAGACTATTGCTATTAACTCGACTTCCTGCTTCTATTAAGTTCATGGAGAAGACCAGTTTTGTTGAGGTTGTGTAGATCATTAACCATATACCTATGTTGATTCTCTCTTTGTAAGTACAACAAGGTCAACTCTAGGACAAGACAAACAAGAGAAAAAGTGACTCCTTATTGGCGTGTCCTTTGAATTTTTTTCATTCAAGATCTCTCACGGACACATCAGGTATTTCATATTTAAGTATTTCGCTCTCCTTTAAAACAGAGATATTTTTATTCAAGCTTCCAGTTCCGTACGATCTCTGACTATACATTTTCTTACGCTTCTGGTCTTCTTAAACCTTTGTTATTAACCAGTATCTGTTTTTTTAATCTCTATGGAAGATTTAAGGTTAACTTGATCTTTCTTTTCTTTCGCTTCAACAGTTTCCTATGATCACCAAATGTGATTACATTAGAAATATTAAGTTACAGCCATCTGTTTCTGGGAATGGATATCATCTCAAGTTTGCAAATAACCCAGGTAAAGCTGAAAATTTAAGGCCATTCTGAAATTCCGCTCCGGTCTCCTGCTGGATTTGAATCATCTCAACTTAGCTCCACTGAGATATGCATCAGAGTATTTGTACATGATTAAAGATTTCAAGACGGGAATACAAATGCTTTATTTTTTGTGCACCACAAATTCTTTCATACCATTTGTAGTACTTGCCTCATGCAGTGATACGCTCATTGGTCTGAGATCATGGGCAAGTTTATCTCCAAGGACAGAAAAAAATACAGATTGTAAGGAGATCATCACTACAAGAAAACATGTTTTGCCGACTGAATTTGCTGACTGTATATGCAGTCCCCAAAATTACCGACTG